GTTTTCCGTGCTTCAGCCATCATAATTTTCATTTTGGCCAGATTGAATCTGAGTCAGCTGATTTTCATCCAGGTGCTGACAGGCATTTTGATATCCTTGAGAAGACAGCAGTGGCATCGCTAACAAATGAGATTTGCTGCAGCATCTTTAGCATATTCCTGGCATTACAGCTCATCCCTTTGCTGGCAAATTATGCTGCAAAGGCTGCATATGTGGGAATCCACCAAGGGCCAATTGACATTACTGTCCTTGGGTCTTGGTGGACAAGGATCTTTGCATGTACTCCAGCAAAATCCTACATATACATATGTCCAGACCATAAATATACATATATATATGTATATATAAATATAGTGTGTGTGTACCAATGCAATGACACTGGTTCTCAACCACGTGCTCTTAATGTACATGCATCACTGACGGATTTGCATAAATGTTTCTACCCAAACACTGTCTTTATCAGAAACCTCACAAATATAATTCAACAGTGCTGTGAAATATTAAATTAACCATATCCATGGTTCTAGCATTACACATGTAGGAAAAGATAACAGAAATAAGGAGTTAGGGATGGGCATTTGTATTCACATTCACACTACACACACATCTTATGCTGTATTAACAAGTTAATAGTCATTGTTTAATTGCAAAACATACTGATGATTATAGATATTATGTGCATACAATCACTTAGCATTCAGACTGTCAATTCTTATTCCAGCCATAATCTTTATTTTCCTTAATTTTCTTATATAAAATCCTTTTATGCTGAAATGCCTCATATCACTGCTTATTTACAAGTAGTTTGCCTTCTTTCTTTCAAGAAAATTGGTTAAAAAATAAAGTAATGCAAATACGAAAATGTTGTTTGTGTATGTTAATATATTTCACTAAAGGCCCAATCTGAAAATTAAAATATCATTTGTTTTGATGATCTATATGAGATTAAAAAAAATATACTCTAAGAAAGTCAACTCAGCAGTTTTAGCAGTATGGATTTGATGATGTTTCAATGACTCTCAGCAGGTTTTCATACAGTTTTTAACACATTTCTTGGGAACTATCAGTTAGGAATATCCTAGCATGACCAATCCTTCACTCTGATAAAGCCTAAAGCTCTGTATCAGATGTATAGTTCCCTCATGAAATTCACATATTGTACCCTATATAGACTTAGAACTAAAAATGAGAGGGTCATTTCAGGACAAAAAATATCATTTCTTCTAGATTAAAGACTCTCAAGTGTTTTTCGTTTTTCATAGAAATCACCTGTTCATGTGGTAATTACTTCTGGAGCCACATATCCTTTCATTCCATAATCATTCTGATTTCTAGATCAGATAGTGGCATTTCTGTAGCAACTACAGCAGTTGTTTTCAATACACATTTGAAACAAGTCACTAAATTTAAATCATTACGCATCTTCATTTTCTTCTCTCGAATTTGAGGTGTGCCTGCATTGCAAGGGGTTGGCATGCACAGACTGATGGTTCAGCCCATACTGATCATCCCTAGCCTGAGGGTGTAGGCTGTGCTTGAGTTATGACTGAGTTACGTACCTGCCTTAGCTGGGGTTCTGCTTCTGTGGCCAGCCTGCCTTACCATTGCAGCCGTGCCTGTAAACTGAGGGCTTTGAATACCAAATTAGACTGCTCTTCCCAAAATCCCACATTCCTGCATCTTTGAATACCCCTGGCAGCCTCCTTCTCTCTCCTAAACAGAATGATATATTTGGCATTTAACTCCTTGTTTTCCCTTTGGGTTGTTCCAGGCTACTGGCACATTTCCTGCTCTCAGCTAACCCCTGTTCTGCCAGTGTGGGATGCTTTTCTAGCAGGTTGCTAACGTGCCAAGAAGCATATGTATTTCTTTGTGGCTATGGAAGATATTTTCCAAATTTTACAGCTTCTGACCCAGAAACGGGAATATTCATCACTGCAGCACAATTTCAGACCTGCCAAGAATATATCAATTATGTCATGTAGATGTGCTAAGGGAAAGGATGAAAGCAGGAGCACAGCAATTTCCCTTGCTCCCTGTACTAGCAATACAGATAGCAATAAACGACATCCTTCTGCAGGGAAGGCTTAATCCACTGATGCCAAATTCATTCCAGTTGAGGACCCACCCACTCAGAGAAAAGTGAAAGGACTTACATCATGTTTCTACAATATCTGAGATTGCCAGCCCCTGAATCCACTATGAAACCAAAGCAACTTGGCCTAAAATTTGCTCTGCCAGATGTCCTGAAAAATGTTCTTTGATGCTCTTCAACTGTGAATCCAAAAGGAATCTGGAGCCTCAGGGAAGTGTTTGGCACACCATGGATGTTACAATTTTGAGGGACATTTTAGTTTGGAAGAAGTCTTAACTACGGGCAACTTGGGCTCCCTTCAGTGTGACCAGGTAGACTTAGAGCAAAAAGCTCCAAAGGAAGTTTACACCAGCAGCCACTGCCACACTTTTTTTCTTGGCATTAGATGTTTTCCAAATATTTCCCAAGATAGCCACTGGTCAAAAAACCCCCATGTAAATCTAGAAAAAAGAGTTTATATATTCTATTATTGATTTTTAACTACAGTTCACCACAGGCCTCTGAAGAGCCATAAAGCTGCAAGATGGGGTTTTTTCCTGATGTTTTAGACCTAATTTAACAAAACATGTTCTATGCTTTTGCTGTCAGTATTACCCCCTACAAGAGAGCATTTGATCAAATTTTCTATGGATAGTGGCCACATATTAATTTGCCACAGGAGGTAACAGGTGCTGTGTTGAGGTCAATGTCCTGCAGAAGAGACATGTTTTTTTCAGAGATAAGCTACAGACTGCCTTAATGGGCAACTCCAGCTGCTCAGTTCTTGGCCTTTATCTCCTATGGTCATTTGGCAGTGGGTGTAGTCTCGCTATCAGACAAGCAGCACTTTTTTCAGTTGCTTATAATTGTTCTGCAGATTATTCCATATAAGTTGAATTTGTACATATTGAGTAGAGGAAAGCAAACAAAAAAATTCACTTTTTTTTCTTGTATTTTTAGTAGTTTAGCAACATATTTGTACTGCTGTACATGAACTATAGCAGGAATGAAACATAAGTCAGAGTTGATGGTATTCTTGTCTGATATTTGATTCTAGTTTACTCCCACAGATTTGAATAGAAATACTACTTGTGTAGTCAGTTATTAAAAAATGCATAACTGTTTAAAAAACTATATAGTAAGCCACTTTCAGGGTAGCTTCCTTAATTACGTAAATTCACCATAATTGAGAGGTGATCAATATTTTACTGTTTGTTCTTACTGTATATTAAGACTCTGAATCACCTTCTACAGAATTAAGAAGATTAAAAACAAAAAACAAAAACAGTGGTGTTTTTAATTTATCTTTTTAGGTCTTTTCTACAGAGATCTCCAAGTTAATTACAACTGTTAATTTAAAGTACACTAAGCTATATTAAATGCCTCGGTATCTATTTTTCCTCAGAATTAAAAATGACCTTAATTCAGTTTAGCCTCACTCACTTTGGAAGTGAAATATGCTAGGTTACCTGAAGGTCATTTTAATTCTAGCTAGGAAAGTTCAAACAGTTTAGCAAGCTTTCCTACATACTCTGCACCCAATAAGTAAGGAATGATGAGGAACTAATAGTCCCACATCTAAATCTAGGCTTCACTGTATTCTGCTCAAATGTATGTCCTGTAAATTGTCCCTCTGTCACATATTGCTGTATTGGTTAAAGAAGTCTAGCTAAAAAAAAATTCTAAATGCATAATCAGCTCTTCTGCTGTAATATCTTTAGTAGTGCCATCCAGAAATAGGAAAACAGTCCAAGATGGTTTTTCTGGCTTTTTTTTTTTTTTTAAATTTCTAGAAGCACATTTTTAAATAGAAAAAAAAATCAGTTTCATAAACCTGTATTTTTACCTCTTTATATTTCTACAACTTGCTGTTTTTATCTGAGAGTTACAGCACAGTTCCTAGAAATACTGAGCTGTGCATATATGCCTAACAAAGGTAATATGTCCCATTTGCTCTTATGTTTATTATTTCTTCTGCTCACATCATCTTTTGCTGCAAGTTTTTTTATTCTATAGAAAACAGTCATCCAAGGCAGCAACATGCAGTTTCTTCATGGTTCAGACCCCTGGCATCTGAAGACAAATAAATACAAAGTTTTACTTAATGTTCAGAGTTTTCAATCTGCTTTATTTGTGTTATTCCTTGCTCAGGAATTCCATCTCTGATTTTCAACCTCTGATATCTTTGTCTTATGGTATTTTCAGCTCTTGGTAATATCTAAGGTTTCGAAGCACAGTCCAGTCCAACACTTATTCAAGTACTAGTTTCTTGACAGATTCTAAATTGCCTCATCTGGAGTCTGCTTCTCCCAGGAATCTATTTCTGTATTATTTGCTCCACTTTCTGTTGAAAACCAGTGGCTTTTTAAAGTTGGAAGGGTTTTACATTTTTTTTTTAAATCTAAAAATCTTTGATAGATCTTACCCTGTGGTAGGGTAATGCCACACTTCATCATATGCTTCTAGCACCCCAATCTTATATAGCAAATGTAATCTTATAATCTTGTCATCCCAATCTTATAAAGTAAAATACAATTTTAAACATTCAGGACCAAAGCATATAGCTTTAATAAGCTTCATTTTTATTTAGAGTGCAATACTCCTCATTTTTTGTACCCGCTTCATGAATATCCTCCTTTTCTTGGATTGCTGAGAAGTGTTAAATATGCCAAATGCATCAGCACTTGCTATTTTCAGAAGGAAAACCTCCTCCTGATAGACTTGCTTTTAAATAACACTTACTGTTTCCAGATGTACACTGAAGTGTTCTTGCCTTCTTTTCCAGTAGTTTCTGCTATTTCCAGAGTTTGAGCCTTTAAATGCTTTAATTTCTTCTCAATGTCTTTTTTTTTTCCTTTTTAATTTTTTTTTTATATTGGTAGTGCTGCTTTAATTTCTTCTCAATGTCTTTTTTTTTTTCCTTTTTAAATTTTTTTTTATATTGGTAGTGCCATCAATGAGTGGTCATTCCAGGCTCAGAGGGTTTCAGCAGATGTTCTTCAGTCAGGTGCCTGCAGTGCATTTTCCTTACATTTACAAGCCAGGAAGCTAAAGTGCTAAAAGAATAATTAGACCAGTAGCCTTTCATTAGGAGAAATAATAAACAAAACCAATAATAGTATCATATTCATAGGGGTGAATCTATTGAAAAAAAATCCATGCAAGAAAAAAAGAGTAAAAGCCACTTTCCATATAAAAAAAGCAGCCAAAACTGGATTAAAAGTTTATTTACTATTTTTGGATTTCTTTTTGTTTGTCTTTGACTCAGAAAGCTAAAAGGAGAAATATCTACAGTGCGTGCCAAGAAGAAGTTATTAATTCTCATTAGCACAAAGAAGAAGTGGTTATTTCAAGTGGTTGTAATGCAAATGTCAGTGTAAAAGTTTTTTCCCCTCAACTCCAGAGCCTGAGAAGCCATTGTCAGACTATACTTTGATATCAGCAGATGTTCTCTGTATTTGATAGATGTATGGCTGATTCACCAAGAAAGAGAAGTTGAGTGTTTTCAAGCATTGTTTTAATCTCATGAAACAGAGAACTTTGACTTCTATTTGCATTTAGTCCAAGCCATATTTTCTCTAAACTCAGTTTCACATCTGAAACATAGAGGTAATTTTCGAATAATAGCTGAAATAAATGTAATGTTTCCAGGGAAGCTTTTATTTTTTAAATCCATTTCAAAAGATGGTGCAGTACAGTTTTTGCACATGAATGTGACAGACAGGGCTTTGAAATTGGTATTAAATGTTACGATTTTAACCATCACATTTACAAGAAAGAACTCCATTCTTTTTGTACAAAGAGCAGATGCATCCCCAAGTAATATATTAACCAATAAATGTCTACATATAAAAATTATCCTCAAGCATTTCTCATTTCCAATGCTGTAATTCCTTTCAAACTGTAATTTCAGGTAAAATGAATCAATCAAGGTCTCTAACAGAGGATGTATAGAAATCTGTCTTGGGGATAACATCTGCATTTATTTCTTATGCTCAGGTGCAACATTTTAACTCAGAGGTGATGACATTATATGTGTAAATCAATTGAAGTAGCTAGATATCAAAGCTTGTCCTTTGATATTTCTTCAGAGAAATCTTCCCTTCCATCTACTTTATCACAGTAAAAGTTATTCTGTGATTTAATCAGATATTTTTGTCTCTCCTAGTTTTAATTTTTTTATACTGATAAAATACATTATATTTCCATTCCTCCCAAAAAATGTTCTTTTTTATCCTCCAGAGGCTTTATGTGCCTTTATTTTCACTCTTTGCTTTTCCTTCTTTCCTATCCCTTTTGGCCTCCATTTGTTTTGTTTGCCACTCTATTCCATTTACTTGGTCTTTCCCTTCACTGTACTGTGGATTTACTACCAGAACTGTTATTTTGTAAGAGTTCACAAAACCGGTGGAATTCAGCAGCATAGTTTGGTGGTGTTTGGCATCCCTTGCCTCCTCCAAATATTTGGTACATAAGATCTTAATTTTCGCTAATAGTGTTGAACAAAAATGAAGCCATGTTTAAATTAGTCAGAGCCTTTCCTCATCATTACTGAGAAGACAAGCCAGATTTCTGATCCCCTGAGCAAACACAAGTAGGGGCAAAGTCCATAAAAGCCATTGCTGATGAGAAACTATTTTTCTGAAGTCTCAAATGAAATCTTGATTTCTTCGCACCAAATGAAGTTTTGCCATCGGTGATGTCAGGATGTTCCTGCAACACTGGGCCTGGGTGTGTTTTCTAGTTTTGTGCCTGTTACTCTTCATAAGCTATCTCAAGGATTTACTTCTCTTGCATCCTCTTTTTCATTTCTGCATCAATTATTGAAGAGACAAGAGTATAATTGGCCATATCCATTTCTCAAAGTTAGCATAGGATAATAAATTGAATAGGCACAAAAAACCATGTTAGAAATGGTCCTTGGGTAAATAACTGATTGCTATAATTTCTTAGAAATGTTAAATTCAGATTGCAATTGCTCTCCTACAGTTTAAAGTTAATTTTCCCTCTGGATGACAAGGGGGGAATATTTTTTTCAATTTATTGTGTATTTGAAGGGGGAGTTAAATATTTTGTATATGCATCCTTTAACATGAAAATATTAATAACACAATCAATACCAATACTTACCATTTATAGAGGGCTTTTTCATCCACAAATTTTAGGATTATACAGTTAGAAGTAAAAGGCTTCTGAGAGTTTCAGTGGGGTTGGAGAGCACAACTTCCATGGCAGCTGGGATTTCAAGGAAGGAGGGAAGAGAAATGCTGGGCTGTAGGACAGAAGAGAATGTTTGAAAATGGTAGAGAGAAGAAAAGGAAGCCAGGACAACTGGAGCACATACATGTTCAGGAGAGAGGAGAACAGATACAATAATTATGGAAGAATTGTAGAACTTGCCTCATGCAACAGGAAAATATGCAATATAGTCTTTTAAGAAAGATAACAGGAGATGGTAACCTATGTCATTTGGAGAAAAAAAGTGTTGCTTTAATTAGGAGAAATGTGATTTTGTTACAGTCTTGGCAATGCACACACTGTCCAGGTTCATCCCTGCCTGTGTGTGCTCCATGTGTGCTGCTGTCTCTTCCCTGATGACTCTGAGTGGAGTAATTTGCAGACTTCTGGTCCAGACACAGTCTTTTAATATGTGTTTGTACAGCTGCATCACAATGGGGGACTAATTTTGAATGGGGTCTCTGTTTTCTACCATAATTGAAATAATTAATCATAGTCACTCAATAATGTTGTCACTGTCACTTCTTGGACATAAAAATCCAATGAGGTCATAAGGAAATGCACATTATGTTAATATTATCTATTATAGTAAAAAAATGACAATCCATAGTCTGAATCAAAACTCACCATGTCTATGTAAAGTATAATTGTAGTAGTCTTTTGTTTCTTTGCTACAGCAAGCAGTTGTAGGAAAGGATTGGCCAACATTTGGAGGATTCTCCTGCCCCAGGCAGTGTTTCCCCACAGGCAGGGCTCCTTTCCTTGATGTGAGTTTGGAGCCCACAGCACAGACAGGGCAGGCCCCTTTAAATCTCTGTTTTATCTGGTTGCCCAGACAACCCCTGTAAACATCAGTGGAACAACGTGTGGTCTTCAGAAAGCTGGGGACCTTGAGGAGAAACGAGGTCATTTGGGGACAGACAGATTCAGTGTAGCCTTATCTACATGAGCAGACAGATTTCTTTTTCACAGACTTGCACATTTCTTTTTGAATGCTTCATGCTCTTATAGTCTGTTTTAATTTGTGATATATGGAAAAAATAAACATATTTTCTGGCAGCAGGTTTTTTCTTGTTTTCTATGTTGTTTTCTGTTGTGACATAAATATATACTGATTAAATATTTATACGTAATGAAAGAAGAATATGAGAAAGAATACTTTGACTACACAAAAGTGACACTTTTTTTTGGTATGACGTTTTTTGATAATATGATTTTTAAATTTTTTTAATTTTCATTTTAGCAATTAAAAGTACTAGTGAAATTCAAATAATGGTGGAAAAGTTACCATTTGCAATATATTTTGCCATTAAACATGATAAATAGAGGGGTTAAATATTTGTTAGCTGTTACATCAAAGTAATGAGTCAATCACTTCAGATTTATTTCAACAAAACTGTATAGAGGAATTTGCACTTATATCTGGTAAGGTATGGATTGAACAGATACTGAGAACTTCTACACTGTGAAAGGACATGCTTGGGAGAAAGCACAACTTTGCTGGGGTGGAAGTCTCATACCCACTTTTCTCATATTTGACCATATAGCTTAAAATAATGATTTTATTGCTATGTCCAACTGCAAAGGAGGAGCAGCTTACACCCCTCTTTCTACCTGGGCCTGCATGCCAACAGCAGCATAAGCATCTAGTAATATTATATGAATTGCCCCAGTTTATGAATATTTGCAAAAACTGGTTTTATTTCCTGGATGACCATAGTAACTTAGGTGACCAACAGAAGTAAGTTTCCACTTTCCTTCAACTTATGCCTCATTTCATCTTACAGCCTTCATACAGTAGAATAATTTTTTTCTTCATGGCTGCTCAAAAGGATATGTTTCCCCAAACTGCTGAAATTCTGGGACTTCCTTTCTTAAACAGAGGCAGACAGCAGATGGAAACTTGAAGATATTTGAAGAAGAACATCCAAGCTTTGATTACCAAACAGACACAGATAACCAAAATGATATTTTGTGTGGTTAAAAATAGAAGTGTTCCTATCTTAAAGCTGTTTAAAATTATGCCTGAACCAAAGGAACCTCATTAAGCTTGAGGATGATTGTAGTCTGTGGGGTTATGGTATCTGCTTACATCAGTACTGAATTTCACCCAGAGCGTGTTTGGAGTGTTGAGGACTATAAAAAGTCATTGTGTATGAAATGATACATTATGTCAATATCATACTGCTACAGCTTGTAAATTCACATTGATCTGTATAATAAAAGATGTTTACAGCACTAATGAACTCAATCAAGTGCATGTTTGCTGATACATAAAAAAGTAACAAGCCATCTTGCTGGGCATTTGATTTCCAGGAGATAATCCCAGACAGTACTCTGAAGATTAGAGAGAGAGGAGATAAGAAGCTGTGACAGGCTGGCAATATCTGCCTGAAACACCATCCCCTGTTAGCAGGTGTTGGTGCTGCTGGGAAGCTGTTGCATGGATTTTGCTAACACGCTGAGCAGATGGCTTATAAAAGAGATGGGTGTTGCTTTTTGAAGCAAAAATTATATATGGCCTGAGATGTATTGCAGCAAGAATCCTAAGGGAATATAAAGTGTAGGGATGGAAGTTGAGCTGAACCTTGTTTCTTCATTGGTAATGTTTTCTAGGCTGGCACTAGGAAATGGATGGTTTATGACAGCACAGATTATGTTTGGACATGGCTTTATAGCAAGAGGGAAAATGCACCTGTTTAGAAAAGTGTAATTATCTACTTAGTAAATATATTCTAAGATGAGTGTTGTGCAAACAGAAGAAAACACACTATTTATAGCTATTAGCTAATAAGAATAGATATTATTCCTATTATAAACCTATATGCTGATTCTGTTTCAAAGCTTTTGAACTTCAGGATTGTCAAATTTAATGTTTTGAAGATCTGTTTGGCATTTGCAATACTAACAGTTGAACAAGGATAGAGCCTGTTTCAACAGCAGAGGTAAAATGCAGCCTCAAGTTTCCTGGACTACATCAGACTGTGCATCCTACTGCAGCTCTGTAAGGTGGCGGTTGAGTGAGCAGGAGAAATAGGTCTGCATTTCCAAGTCTATTTTGTGACTTTGTTCAAATACCAGTGTTCTTTAGAGAATTTAATTATCTTCTTTGTAATTTGAGGACATTGTATTTACTGACTTGGAGATGGATTACATATACAGCAGTATAGTAATAATAGCTCATAATTATTCCGGGAATATGTTCATAGTAACAGGAAGGGTGAAATAAGAACTGTGTTCAAATAAATCATAATTCTGTATCTTGAAGATGGAACTTATCTGATTGTCCTCACCATTTTTCAATTGTAACAATTAAAATTCATAAAGAAATCCATAACTTCTGCATGGAAAAATTGGAAAAAACAAGAAAATTCTTAGAAATACGTAGATTTCTGAGAAAGCAATTTCTTCCTCATCTCTGTTTTCCTATCTTTCCTGTTTGTTAAGTTATGAAATTCATAAGATAATCTTCATGCCATGTAAAAGGTATTTTTATTACTATTTCTATTTACAATAATTATCTAGGCACATCTGTTCTCAAGTGCATCAATATTCAATATTTAAACTAGCTCAATATTAAAAATATAACTCTATTTAATGCTCCTAATTAAGCATCTGCGTATTTAATACGCCGCTTTGGTTCCTCACTACATTTTGTTAGCTCTAATGTTTCAACATGGAGGTAGCGAGTACCATTTACTCTCAGAGTGATTCAGAATGCAGATCGCATTAAAAAGAGTAAATCTGATCTGCTTCTGGGAAACAACAACTAAAAGCACATTCAGGAAGAGATTAATGCCTCCTGCCTCCCAGGAATGGAGAGGAGAAAAGGCGTTTCTGCTGTGAGGCTCTGGCCTCTGCTGGGAAGATGTGCTCCCAGCTGAGAACAACACCCACTGTACCAGCCCTCTGAACAGAGGAAGCATTAGCTGCACCTGGAAAGGAAGGCTTATCCTAAAACCCTCTCAAGAGCCAAGCAGGTCACAACTCCATTCCCAAACTTCAGGTTTGCCTGTGAATCATAAAGCAACAGCTGGGTGCAGTCCCTCATCACAAACTCCCGCTTGCGGTTTGCTGCTCTTCCCAAGATGGAACGCGCTTTGCTCAGCAGAGGTGTGCACATGGTTGGGGTGGAGGCTGCCTCGGCTCTGGAATGTGGACACACCGCTGAAACAAAGCAGGCAGGGGCTGCGAAATGCCCAGCCCAAGCTTTGACCCGGAGATAACGTGAACTGCTGTCAGCCTTGGAAATGCTTTCATCTGCAGTCAGTGGCAGCATTCCAAATGACTAACGGAAAGAGAATCAAACCTTTCCTCAGGAGCATCCTGGAACACAGCTTTGGCACCACCGCCTGAGAAAAATGACTGTTTACACGGGGATGAGCTCAGATCCTGGTGCTTTAGCACGGGTTTTCTACCACTAAAATTCAGACCTGTTCCTACAAACACACAAACAAGCATGGGAGTTGCTATCACATCACATTACATGTTTGTGGACAGAAATTATATCTCTGCTTTTTTGCGTTTTTTTTTTTTTTAACAGACCCAACCAAGGTTTCAGTGGCAAATAAATCATACTTTCAGCATAGCAGTAGAAACCACAATGTAATTTGTCATCCAACCCAATGAAAAATACCATGTCTGTAAAAAGTAAATTCTTCAACTTTACAAGCTACAAATTGATACCACAAGTGAGAAAACAGTCTGATATCTCTCTAGGATTTCCTAAAGGATTTTTCATGTGTTTTTCTGGCCTTAACAATAATTTTAGCATTTGCAAGAAGCCCACAATCTGTTCCTATTAAAGTATCAGTTTACCTCAAAAGATGTTAGAGTAAAAAAAAAACCTTAATGCCGATCAAGTTGCAATTAAATTTTCATTTAACATTATCAAATTTGTTTCAGTTCTTTCTGACCAAGAAATAGGAAACTTGACACTAAGCCTACTGAACAGATTTATTTCTAACTGCCTTAAAGAGGTAGTTGTAAACATTCTCATGGAAGGCCTTATTTTGGCCAAGAGATTGTGCAGAAAAGACCAGACTAGAATTGATTTTAAAGGTATGTAGTAGTGAGGAATATGTGATGTAAGAATGTAATAGTATGAACAACGTAAGATCACTATTTAATAAACCAGAAGTCAATAAAAGATTACAGCTAGTTCCATGGCAAACATAATGCAGATGAAATCAAATGCCATGGTGACTTCCACTGCTTGACCTCGATAAACACAGAGGATACTACATAATCTACTGAGATAATTGACTACATTTCAGTTGGGGTTTTATGATTTATTCCGGAAGTATTCTTTTTTTGTGAAACTTTTTATTCTTCTAAAAAATTTTGCTTGACCAGCGTTTCTCTATTTTTGTCAGCCTTTATTGCATTTATCTGATTAGGTCACGTGCCTTTATGTGAGGATGTAAAGTGTTTCAGGAAAAGCCCGAAATGGCTCTTTCAGAGTGGCAAACAGCGATTGTGCTAACGGGAGGAAAATATTTGTCTAGGGTTCCAAAGGGGAAGAGGAAAAAAAAAAAACCTGTTTGGAGCCGCGGGCACGGATTAGTGGATGGGCAGGTGCCGGGCTGTGCGCGGGGAGCCGCGGCGGCTCCGGGCCCGCGGGCGCCTCCACCGGCCCCGGGCCCCGCGGCCGCTCGGGGAGGCTCCCCGCGCCTCACGGCGGGGCCGCCCCGCTCCGCGTGCGCCGCCCGACGCCCCTCAGGGGCACTCCTCGCACGTACCTGTGTGGGAGGGTCCGCGCTGCCCGCCCCGCCCGGCCGCCCGGCCGCCGGCGGTGTCCCCTCGCAGGGAATGGTTTGTCCCGGCTCCCCGCCGTAACCTCCCGCTCCTCCTCCCGCCCGTGCCCGGCGCGGATGCTGCCGCCCGGGATCGCCCCGCCCGGGATCGCGCCGCCCGTGAGGCGCAGCACGCGCCGCCCGCGAGCCCCGGAGCGCTGCAGGACCGCCCGCCCGCGCCCCGGCAGGTGAGGTCAGGGTGAGGGGCCGGCGGGGCGCGACACCTCCTCCTCCTCCCGCGGCGGCGGGGGACACGCTGCCAGCCCCGGGGAGAGGCGGCGGAGCGGCGGCCCGCCGTGATTCAGCATCGCCGGCGGGGAAGGGAAGCCGTGTCCGGCCGGGGGGCTGCGGGGGTGCTGGGCGACCGGGGTCTGTCGCCGGCTCGGGGCGATGCTGCGGGGCGGGAGCGCGGGGCAGCGCCGGCAGCCCCGGCGCTCCTCGGGGCGCACGGAGCAGCGCTGTCCGCCCGGGGCCGCGGGCAGGTGCGGCGGGAGCGCGGGCGGCGGCCCCTCGGGAAGTTTCCTCGATGCAGCGGGCAGCCCTCGCGCAGGGAGGGAGGATGACTGCGCGTGTCGCAGTGTGAGGAACAGGGAAGCAGGAGGCATTCCAGGACTGAAGGTATTAATTTTCTCTTCTCGCCCCCCTCCCCCCAGTTTGTGCATGCGAAGCCCATCGTCTGTGCGGGTCGTATCGCATGTACGGCCGGGTCTCTTCAGAACCAGTTAAGGTTAAAGTGGGATCGTCTTTTGGCAGTGGTACCCAGCGGAGTCTGAAATGTAGAACAAGTTAAATCTCTGGAGGTGCAAGTCAAATATCTTCCTGTGCTTTCTGTGCTTAGCTGGAAGCCCGTAATCTGTGGGATTTTTTGAATTTCTGCTGCTGAAACCACATACAATTGTAAGCAAAAGGGAAAAGCAATTTATGCTGGAATTTGAACGTGCTGCTGAATTCTGTGAAACTGACTTAAGGTCTCAGTATTGATCGCTTTTGTGCCTTTCCTGTGTATTTGCAGTTTGAGTACCAAAATTAGACTTCATTCCTTCTTAAACCCCCTCTAAACCAACCAAACACACACATCACCCACCCCTAGTTCAGTATACTTTTCTGTCTAAATCCCTCATTAATTAACCAGAGTGTTAGTACCTATCTAAATAATATTCAGAGAAATCCTGCTGGTTCTTTTCACACATGAATGGTTAGAAGTGCTTTTCCTCTGTGGGAATTGGTTGTCCCCCAGATACTGCAGAGTATCTCCAAATATACAGTGACTTGGCATCTGTAGAAGCTTTTACCCCTGTTTTAAGTGCTGCAATGAGGGTTTTAGTAGAAATAAGACGTTATTGTTTGAACTAATGATAGTTCAACAAACAAACAAAAAAAATAGAGAAGCAGGTATTATGCCATGGGTTTTCCTGCGTGGTGAGTAAATATAATGTCTGTGGTGACATATGGAGCTATTATCTCTGAGCAAGATTCTCTGGAGAGAAATGTTACAAAGCTCCAAAAAACTACATGAGCTATTTATTGCAGAATATGTGACTTATTTTATAATGACAAAGTATGTCTTTACCTTCAGGTATTCACCATATTATGCAAGGAAGTATAGAAAAATAGTTGTCAGTTTTTAAATTTTTTTTTTCCTTTAGAAAAATGCCCCTATTCTAGATTTCTGATGGTTTGGATGCATTCCACATATTTCCAAAGGGATCTATCCAGCACTTTGGGAGTGTTAGAAGAGGCCAGGAGATCAAGCCTGTCAGCAGTTATTAGGTAATTATTCCAGTAATCTAACAGTCATTTTAGTAATCTGAAGCTCAGGTTTGCAATCAAAATAAAATTTGTTCCCATTTCTTCCAAAGCTGATAGTGGTAAATTGGCAGCATAGGTTTAGTTGTGGACAGTTCTGAAGAACTGGGAGATTAATTGATCATTAATTGATCAAGAAGCAGTTAGACACAAAGCCATCTTGCAGTTTTTTGTACAGTTAGGATTTTTCACTAAGGTGTTTTTAATGCTGTATGTTGGTTATGAAGGCCATAAATAGAATTTTGAAGGTGAAATGTGGCACACTGATGCTGACTGCTGAATGTGCTCACTCTGAATTGCCAACATCAAGAATGACTGAAGTATGATTTCTTGATTTTGAATCTCCATCTGTGGATATTTATTATGAATTTTAAAAGTCTCTGTAGGATGCATATGGCAAATTTCTTGAACAACCACATTTTCTAATGTTCTGTGCTTTTTTCCATTTTTTCCCTTGCCTATATTTTAATGTTTAAGGAGTTTTAATGTTTAAGGAATATTTTTGCATTTGCTAGCTACTTGCAGATGTCTCATACTAATTGAGGACACATTAATCTAAGTATGTAAATCCTTAGAAAACAAGAAATTGAAATGAAACCTTGATGTCTGAAATAGAGAAATGGGTAACGTCTTCCAAGCCACCCTGCATCTATTTTTGCAAAGCTCCTTTTTAAAAAATGCACATGGCAGAACGTTGCAAGATAATTTTTTAATATGAGTTGCTACTGTTTTTTAAATTTTGTGCTACAATTTTATCAGTGTAAAGATACATTGTAGAAAACAACAATGTTAATTTCTCACTCCTATACGTTTCTACAAATCATCAGAAAATTCCAATTGTTATTACTACCTTGAAGTGTTGTGGCTTTTGGGGCAATTCTAAATCATGAAGTTATTGAATTTTTTTGATAGGCCTTCTATCAGTCCCTGGCAAAAAAAGATGAATGCTTGCCAGTCTTTTTGATGAGGTATTTCCATCATCCATAGTTGACACAGTGACTCTACAATGATCTGAGTGGGAAAGGAATAGTTTGGATTTGCCTAAAAGAGGGAGTTCATTTTATTTGGAAAGGTGCATACAAACTATCAAAGCTAAGAAATCTCACTGTACCACAGCATTCATATTGGAGCATATTAGCTGGATTTTGTTTTTCCCTTGTGAACTTCAGAACACTTAGCCCTCGATTAATTTTTATTTTCTACATACCTAGAAGTTAATTGGGGCCATTTGAATCCTACTGATGGAAGTCAAATGGCCCTTATTAAGCACGAGGAGCTCTTTAGAGCTCCATTAATGCTTACCTAAAGTCCTTCCAGAATGATACTTTGCAACTACTCCTTTTGCAGACATTATGAGCTTCCTGGAAAGTTTACCAGAACCAGTGAACCTTTTTAACATTAATATTTAAAATACTAATGTATTTTTAAATTTAGAATGGATTTTGTTGATGTCTACTACACTGATGTCTACTACTGCAGAGGAATAATTTGAAATTGTATGGATATGTGAGAAAAAAGATGACGTTCTGAAGGAGTCAGCCTTGGAACCTGCTGAGCATTAGAGCCAATCTTCCTTTTCCAGGGTTGCAACCTCTTGGTGCCAGAATCTTTCACACCAGGAGATTCCATAGTGCCCCAGTCTGCTGAATCCTCTTGTCCACAGCAGTGAAGGCAAGAACCTACAGGTTCTGTAGGGGTTAAATAATAGATTCTGCTAAGAGCATTTCCCAGTTTTCTTCCTTGCCTTCTCTCTGAAGTGTTCATACAACTGTACAATATAATTTCACAATTCTACCACATTGAATTATACTCATTTATCAACACTTTTGCTCTGCCTTGAATTTCATTTGCCAGGAAATAAGCTCTAACATTAGAATAAATTTTTGGCTTTGTGGTTTGTAAGGTTAAGTAAAGCAGACATAATGGTTCTTGCTTTCAATATCAGTTTTAATCAGAATACAGGATCTCCAAAATGAAGACCACTGTATACATTTGTACTATTTGTTTTCCCAGTGTTAAAGTTCAGATAATTGAAAATGTTAAAATATAGATCCACGTTGTTTCAAAGGCAATATTAAAAAATATAATCACATAGGGTTTTTATGAACATTGATTTCTGGGGACAGAGGAACCGTACTGCTTTACAGAGAGCCCAAATTAACAATAACGAAAGAAAGACAAAAGAAAACATTCTGATTTGGGGATCACTCTTCACTTTCTGGAGTGGAGTGAGTGTCATGCCACTTCCCACTTATGCTTGTATTTGGTTTTGGAAGGATTCCAGATTGAAGTTTAATATGCACCACTGTCCAAATGCACCATAGATGGCTACATTACTGTTAATTGATAGAAAAACTGACTGCCTAAAAGGATGGAAGTGCTTTGCACTGCATTTCAGGAGCCCTTTGTGGCCAGCAGTAGTAACAGAGTACTAACAGTCACTCTTCAGAATAAAGAAATGAGGACTAAATCCACTTTTCATATATAATAAATGCTGCAGAAGGAGTTGAGTAGGGTGTGGGTTTCACAGTTAGACACAGCAATGTGTTGACATGTTTATTTCCATCCTTGCTTAGTAGCAAAATGCTAAATATATTCTTCTTTGGTTACATTAAAGTATGTTTCCTTTCAACTTTGTCCTTGGCTTGACATGTGTTTGTTTTATTTTTAGCACTGGAAAACCAACACAGTTATATCCCTATAGGGTGCAGTGGAAGCACTGGAGTATAGCATGAGAAATGAAATGAGATGCTCAATACTGAATTGTTGCAGGTGAAGAGGCAAAGATCTTGATACTCATTATGACCACAAGAAAACAAGTGGACTGACAGGACAGAATATTGTGTGATTTGTTGGGGAAATCACTCTTATCTGCTTGTTCAGAGTGAACTTCTCTTGAAAAATATAGAATAGGGCTATGTGATAGAAGACTGTGCTTTCTATGCTTTTGTGGGTGGTTGTCAAGTGTTTAGTGTTCATTGAACATGAAATTTCTGTGAATTTGTAATAGTGTTTTATCCTTCCAAGCTCAATTTGGTGTTGTGGAAGGTGGGAGAAACATGCAAAAACATTTCATGTGAATTATTGGCGAAAGAAATCTCAAAGATATGCAACTTACTCACCCAGAAAAAAAACTACCCTTTGAATTACATTTTATTTCATGGGACTTTTTAGAGGGATATAATATTATCCTCACTTCTTATGTCAACTTGAAATCTTTGAAAGACTATAAATTACTAGTGAGCATTAACAATTAGGCATTAATTTGAATGAAAAGATTT